AGGTCTGATTCAGGACTACAAGTGAGGGCTTACTAGTATGCCACAACCAAGCCATCTCACTACACAGTTGGAGCTGCCATTGCCACAAATTCCCAACACAATAATAAATAAAAAACCATGACTTGTGAACATTCCCCAAAAAGCCATGAATAACACACATGTTAAATTGAACAGCTGACTACCCACTGTGTAACAGTTAATACATCACATCTGTTTGCATCACACTGAAGATCACTTAATGCCAAAAGGCAGAAAACAAAGTTACATTAAAAACAAGGGATCCTTTTAAAGAAAAATGTTTAAAAGTAAACAAGCTAACTACTGCACAAGATGACTATTAAGCTACAAAGTTTCCTTCCTTCTTGATGCTCTCCCAGAAGTGACTATCAACTCCAAAATAGCTTTAGAGTATCTTAATTGTTTCCACTTGTACTAGCTAAGAAGGCAAACTTACCATGAAGGTTGGTACATTTGTAAGACTACTCCCTGGGTGGGTGGCAAAGTTTTCCTAGAACTACAGAGCGTAACATGACCATACTTCAGTGCTGCCATCTTTCAGCCAGAGTTTAACTGGCTGGTACCACACGAAGATGTAAATGACAGCCTTTAACTTGCATGCCAAACACAGCCTGATTCCTTATGTTCTCTGTGCTGCTTACCATACAAAAACACTAACTAAAGACAGACGGCAAGCTTTTATCTGGGGAGGAAAGCAACATAGCTTCCCAAAACTGTATGCTGACAGCTGAAGGAAAGCTTTGTCCCTTCTTGCCAGTCCAAGCTGGTTAGCTCTCTGAACCGAGCATCCCTCTTGAGCTGGCAGCACGGTTTTCCAAACCACAGCCAGTATAGCAAAATACATGCTGCAGCAGTCCCAGGCACTAACGGAAGAGATGACCTGCTCACCAGGGAACAAATTCAGTGTTTGGTAGACATCAAATGCTCAGTATACGTGCCACAGACCAGATGCACAGATGACACAAACCAGACAAGACCGTACCACATGTGAAGCATTTGCCTGACACCTCACATATGTCAGAGCAGATCCTACAAAATTCCTGCAAGGATGAGTTTATCTCTGACTGCCCAGCAATCCACCCATCCCCATACCCACACAATTAGCAAGGCCCTCTTCCAAGTCAGATACAGAAACCCAAGGCTTTGCCAGGATGCAATGGGCTCTACACAGCATGGTTTCTCTTAAAAGGTTCCTGGAGGATTTGGCAGGCAAAGAAAGCCACATAAAGCTAGGAAGAAATATCAGACCCAAATAAACACCTGAGCTCTGATGACCAGCCTATCCATCTGTTCACTGCTTCTGGACACTTCCTTAACACATGCCCATGGGGCAGACGTCTCTCCTCATATACAACACCCCAATCTCCATTTTTGGTTCAACCCAATCTACAGCTGCAAATCCTAAAGAAAAAAAATTTTTAAAAAGTGCCTTAAGAACTTTCTATGTCTTTCAAATACCACAGTCATAGCTGTGCAGTATAAGAACCTGTACACCCTTTAGGGGAAAAGCTGATCAATAGTTTTTCAAGGTAGAAAAAATACAGTTCAGGAGACCATATTCTGTCAGGCCTTGGCATAATCAACACATAGAGCTGCTCTGGGCAAAGACTCGGGTACCTCTTGACATGCCCCCTCTGCAGGTTGTTCCCATCCAAAAAAGCCATTCCTCTACACTATCTAGGATAAACAGAAGTTGACCAAAAAGAAACCCTCCAAGTCTTCCTTAGGTAACATCTCCCTTCAACTTACTGACTGATTTGCAATTTTCTGTTCCACTTTTTGCTGAGCTTATATTATATATAGTCAACAAAGCAAGATAGAAACCCAACATTACTTAGTTTCTCTTTTTAGCTTCATGATGTCTATCTGTCAAGACGAACTTTCTAGAACATGCTAGGCTGTCCACCTCCCACAGCATCCCATGCAGTACTTTCTCCAAGAGCATCCCTCTAGAACCTCAGCGCTTGCATTGGTTTCCTCTTTCCTTCTGACCCTGCAGCTAATGCCACCCCCTCTGAGGATAAGAAACCATCCCTTTTTTCCTTAATGTTTAATACCATCCAAGTGTCTGCAGAAAGATGTCCTCCATCTACTCACAGATCCACAAGAGCAATAACAACACACTGGTGCTCTCAGAAGGTGCCCCTTAACTCCTCTGTGCCGCTCCTACAAGGTATACAAACCTTAAAACCACATCTTCTTTTACAAAAGCAGTAATTGGTATTAAAATCTGTCTTTTTGATCACTGATTGTTTTTTTTTAAAGAGAGAGAACAGGTCTCTGCCTGGTCACATAGGTGACTGAGCTACTTTCAGTTTGCACGCACCACAATAGCAGGTTTTTGAGTCACAGACTGAATGCTTTAATTTAAAATACTGTTAAAAAGCAAGTATCTAACACTCTACCCAATTTCATTTTATTGGGCTGAATGCATTAGCAATGCCTATCTGCACTCAGATATGCATTCCTCTTCAAAAGCTACCTAATCCGTCCTAGGGGCTTTCACTGGCTGTTCTTCATACTGAAGTAACAAGACACTCTCCAATACTGTCTGTATAAGTTCTGGAGTTCCTTTGTCTTCCACATGGCCAAGACCTCCGAGGTATATTCTTATATTCATGGACTTTCATCTCACTCCCAGTCTTTCCTTCAGTCCTCAGTTGCTCAGATTTTGATCCTTATAAACAACAAACCAGCCCCCTGAAGTGGCAGGCTACAGCACAGAGCCTGCCCCTCCAGCCCTACACGGGACCTGAACAGTAAGTAACTCTGCCTTCATGGCTGCACATCGTCTGTGACAGTTATCTGCCTTGCCCACCCCCACTCCCTGCCACTCAAGGCCTGTCACATGCTAACTCTCATGGAATCATTAAAAAAAAAAAAAGAAAAAAAAGTCATGCAAAAGCAGCTCAGAAGATACCCACAGTCACACTGAAAAACCACGTTCTCCACAGCCGAGCTGTTTCTGCCACTATTTTATTCTC